ACTCCTTTGATCCGTAGTGAGCAGTTGACGCTTGTAGTTGTCACCTGTTAGGTTTGTCTCACTAGGTTTTTTTCTAAATGAAAATGTTTCTTCTGGAATCCTGCGTTCCACACATATTGCATGTCATTCAAAGCGAATAAGCCGCTCTACAAACGCATTACTTTTACTTATCACTGCAATCTCAGGCTGCAGGCTTGCAAACGGGGAGGTTCACAAGACTAAAAGTAGCCAAACCGGTAAACTTTAGCTCCATGTTTGGAAAATTGTTGGAACCATTCGAAAACAGTCGATAATGTACACTTTACTTTCTTACGACCTCTTCTTGAAAATCCATTACCAAAGGCTCCAACAAGTATCCGTGTTTTCGAAATTCCACTTACCGTCTGAACGCTAAACATCGGTAGAGTTTGAACCACAATTCTTCTTATGAACTCCATACTCTCGACATGAGCTTTACTACTATACAAAGCGTTTCATTTGCTTATTTAGAATGCTTCTGTGATCGTCGGTAGAATACGTTGATAAGGAGTCCTGATGGCAGTTGGACGACACTTCAGAACGTTACAGCTCCCACCCCCACCAGCCAAAAATGGCTCTACACTATAAACAGTCACGTGATTGTTCCTGAGCTTCATTGTTTAACGAGTATCATTGTTTAACGAGACTTCTTTGTTGTTGATTGAAATGAAACTCTTCCAAAAGGCTTTATTTGACGACGTTTCGGGCCGTAAGCCCTTCTTCAGGTCTATAACATCATCCATACATTACGTTCTAACATAAAAGAGTGAATCAATACAACATGATATACGAAGCTGACTAACCAATTACAAAAAAGGGAAATTCCGGGTTGAGGGGAGCGGATGATTCCGCTGAGTTCGTGAATCGCTGCAAGAATGATGGGATAAAGATGTGGAGGAAAACGTGAATGGGGACCAACCTCTCCTGCTACTCACTCGGAAAAAATAGAGCAGCCAGATAGAGGGTGATCATGGTAAAGTTTAAGCAGTCGATACTCTTCATTTACCATCCGTCACGTAGCTCCATCTCAACAGTCATTGCACAGCGATGATTTCCATGGTATTTCGGAGTTCTTCCCTATTGTTGATTGGAGGGTTCCTCCTTCGTATTTCAAGCGCCTCTTTTATTTTCCTTTCCACCGGATCACTCACATTCTTATATATCACGCGGACCTTGATTTCTGGTGCACGTTCACGTGTGTGGCGCAAGGAGCGGTGCTTCGAAAAAGGGTTGTCCAGGATAGCTGCTTGGATTCCGCCCTTAGATGCCCTTAGATGTTCGTCAAGCTTTTTGTAGAGAGGGCGTCCACTTTCTCCAATGTAAAACTCTGAGCATGACGCATACTCTACTTCGTAGACGGTGTTCTTCAAGAGGCATATTTTCCCGCTCCGTGTTGACAGTATAAAGCAGTTTATGCGGCCACACTGACTTTCATATAGTCGAGACGAAGTGAGCAGACGGCGCAGTGTTGGCGGCGGTCGGAATATCAAGCGAATTGGCATCCCAGACCTCTTGATCACATGGTTTAATCCTTAGCGAAGGATTCGGAGAGGTACGGTAGTATCAGGGGGTGCCTCCAAGTGCTTGAAATGCGCGCCAACAATTCACACGTCTGCATCCGTATCCGTTCTCGAAAAGAATACGTGTCACCTTATTCATAACTTCGGGAGCATTTGTCGACGTCACTCTGCGAACTGTTGCCAAGGTATTCTGAACTACATTCATTGTTGACGGATGGTAAATGAAGAGTATCGACTGTTTAAACTTTACCATGATCACCCTCTATCTGGCTGCTCCATTTTTTCCGAGTGAGTAGCAGGAGAGGTTGGTCCCCATTCACGTTTTCCTCCACATCTTTATCCCACCATTCTTGCAGCGATTTACGAACTCAGCGGAATCAATCCGCTCCCCTCAACCCGGAATTTCCCTTTTGTAATTGGTTAGTCAGCTTCGTATATCATGTTGTATTGATTCACTCTTTTATGTTAGAACGTAATGTATGGATGATGTTATAGACCTGAAGAAGGGCTTACGGCCCGAAACGTCGTCAAATAAAGCCTTTTGAAGAGTTTCATTTCAATCAACAACAAAGAACAATCAGTGTTGTGTCAATCGGTTATCACAGATTCTAAAAGTTCTGTCAGTTTTTCAATCGGCCATAACACTTTCGGAATTAGATGCGGCAAGGCAGCGGTGAACCGTCGAGTTCCGGTGAGGCCGATAACTAAGTCTTAAAAAAGAAGGATAGGTGTTGGACAGTCCACTGGAGAACCATCAAGCAGAAGGTGTGACTAAGTATTCGAATGGTGCATCACTGGTTGCTTTATTTTTTTTTCGGAACAGAGTTTGAGTCAATTGTAATTTGGCTACTTTTACTCTACTTAACTTTCACTTTGCAAACCTACAATTCAGCGAGTTTATAATGATTATAAAAGGATCACACTGTTTTGTACGGCGTATATCTTTCATCGAACGAGGATATATTATAGGATCATGTAAAAACATGGAATCTCAAAGGAAAAATTTCTATCCGAAAAAAAACAACACTCTATATTGGGCAATCTAGATAAGGTCGGATGAGGACATTTTCAGTAAGTAGGCAGACGAGTCCTTTGTGGGTGCGTGACGATGCGCGTTCTGCAGCCAAGCGTATGCCCTTACGGCCTAGCAGGACCGTTCCTCCGCCTCTACACGCAAGTGACCTTCGCCGTCTGGTCTTAGTCTTTTAGCAGAGAGAGCGTTAGCGTCGGGGAGAGCGCATCAATACGCAAATTGACGGGCAGACAATGAGTTTAATCCCATGGTTCCTTCTTCATCTCTACAGCGCTGACCAGCTTTACCTTGATTTCTAATGAGCTGCTTTTTCATCGCAAACTCCGCCATTGAAGTGAAAAAGAAAATATAGATTGAGCTGATCGGTTTTTGTCAAGATAATTTTGGATCAGCGTTGATTAGTTGGGGAATGGTCTCCATGACCCTCCAATCTTGAACTTGTAAATTTCCTTCATTTCTAGATGTTTGGAAACAGGAAATAATCAAAAGCTTTAGTAACATTTTATCTAAATGTAACGGTAATTCAGTTTTACGCTTCTACGAAGGTGCTGCTCGCCTTTAGGCTCGCCTCCATTAACAACTTTTCCGTTATCGCTCCCGTTGTCTTCGCCTTCTTCTCCTTCTTCGGATCCGCCGTAGTCGTCTCCGTCGTAGTCGTCGTCGTCATCTTCGTCGTTCGTCGTCATCTTCGTCGTCATCTTCGTCGTCATATTCGACATTGTCTTCGTCCGGGTCTTCTCCTTCAGATAAGTTTTTGTGTATATATGTTATCACAGGGAACCACACTTGAATTCGATATTAGTGTCCTATTGATGAATCTCATCGAGCAGAACCTACAAAATATCTGAGTAAATATCCCGTTAATTTGTTTGTTGTTTCTTTTGTACCTGTAACCAGTGAGTCGCTGATCCTTATGTGTCTTGATTTCAACACCAGCGTTTCTGCAACCTTTGTAATATAATGCAGTAGGTACCTCCACAATCTCAACCTCTATCTGTGCGTTTTCTGGTGCCTTTAAATGCATTTTAAAATTTTTTAGAGATAGACATGTCGTTCTAGGAAGTGACTGACCATGATCCAGAAGTTACATCTAATGTAACCGTCGGGCCCGACCTTGGTACTGTTGAGAGGATCTTCGAGCGTTTTCCAAATTTTGGATGCATTCAATACTGCGCCGCAACCTGGCGGCTATATAAATTGTTTCAAGGAATATGCAAGCACGGCTTCAACAGCTATGTTACCCTTTCATCGCAGAACTGTCCACCATATCCGCTGGGACAAATGCATTCGGAGCAGTTGCGTGGATGAGCAAATCCACCATTCCTGCACTTCTTGTCCGCGTTGGGCTCATGTTTGCATGAGTCTGAAGTGCGCTCTGTATCTATAAGCAACCGGGACATAAATATATGTAAACGAATGTATCGCGCACCAGTGCAATTGTAGTACATGTTCATCATAAGCAGGTCGTAAAATGAAATGAATTGAGATCCCAGAGTCTCTGTATACATAATATCTTTCGGTATAATAGTGAACTTTTCTTCATTTTCGGCTGTGTTGTTGACAAACCTGTGAATTATTGTCTGATTGATTTTGTCTAATAACAGAGCTAGTGTTTCTCAAAAGATTATAAGTTCAGGAACATAGGCTGTATACCGTAACCCTCTCGACGTTGGGGTGTTGGCACTGGGGCGCGCAATGTCACGTGTCATCGATTTTCCATGTGTGCTCGCCTCCCACTTCTCGTTTTCTCTGCGCTCTCTCAACGAGGAGAGAATGCGTCGAGCAAACTCACCAACCATACTATGGAGAAGGTAGCGGATGGCACGGGGCTCGTCGGAAGGGGCGGTACCGTCGTTGAACATGTGCGCTTTCAAACCAGCACTGGCGTTGTGCGTTAAGCCAGCGAGTGCCCTCTGGCGCTAACGTGGATAACGGTACACATCCTTACGTTCCTTAACTTATAATCTTGTGTGTTTCTCCACAAGAACTTTACTCTGTCATTCCGTAGTGCATCAAGCTGCCGTAGTCATATGGTAAATCATAGTTGTTATTGGTTTCGGTCGTCTCTGGTACGAATTGGTCGCGCCGTCCAAGCTAAATCCGGCCACACTATTTTTTTGTTTTATAGTATTCGCAAGGCATACCTGAATATTTTCGTCAAGAACTGTGATAAATTGATCACGGTCGTATCTAGAGTGCGTGTGCCAGAAGCCAAGTGCATGGGCAAGCTCGTGCGCTGCGATTCCGATCTGCCGAAAAGCAATGAAACTGATTAACGAGTTCTTTTGGTAGTCACTGTAAGAAACTCAGAAATCATCGTTTTTTTTGGTTCATAAGCCCTCCCCCTTCGAGAAGCGCCATTGTCTCACGCTGAATGTTTTTGATACCAAGTCACAGCCTGAGCCGAGTGAGATCAACTGCAATCCGACCTGTCTGCCAACTTCTGCCCAACATCCATGTTCCTTGTACACAAGAAGAAGGTCCTCAGCTGGAACACTTTCATGCAACAAAACCTTACCCCCACTTCGACCTGGTTCCGTCTTACCTGTTTCTTCTTTATCCTCTTCGAAGTTGATACACGTGTTATTCGTCCATAATTCAACTGCCTTTCGGAAGACTTTTTTGGCCTCTGTGCCTGAACAAAGTGAGAAGATTTTTCATTCCACGACCAAAGAAATGATGGTAACGAACCCAAGTTACCGTCCAATGAGTAGGTAACATTTTTTGGCCATCGTTTCTCGGGATAGGTTAGACTGTTGTGAGCTTGCCGCTTGAAACGGTTTAGGCTATTATCCGAAATAAATTGGTTCTGTTGATCTCTAAAAAAATGATAAAAATTCGCGTGTAAATATGGGTGAAATTTTGCATAAAATTAGAATGTAAAGGGAAGCGAACATTGAAAGAAGCATATCTCCTTGGAACAGTGAGTCTATTATTCCACTTCTCTGCGTTATGTTCGCTTCAATTGATCCCGGTCCTCGTCGGCGTTTTGCCATTTTAATCCGTCCTTCCGAATGACTGAAACTAATTTGAATCTGTTATATTATCACGGCTAACTTAAATCTTGGCTGAAATTTGACCATAAACCTTATGTTCTTCTAGAAACTTTTTTTGTTCTCTCACTCAAAACTGGTGCCGTACGTAACGTTTTTTTGTTTAACTTTTCTCGAAGTAGAGGTATGTTGTCAACAACCTGTGGAGAAATATAGCAATTAATGAGATCCGTCATCTGATACTAGGCGTATACCTGTTTAATGCGGCTCGCAAGCTTAACTTCCTACTGAACATTTTCCCCATTTCATGTGGATACTTTGGAGGCTTCCCAACGAATATCAGAACCTTTTCAGATTCGAAAAAAGTTGCACGCTCACATGATTCATCACAAGTCGAACCAATAGACTCTGGCCTCATCTTCACAAATGCAAATTTGAGGGGCGGGGTTATATCGACAAAGAATACGCAGATGAGTGATTAGGATAATGTTGTGGCTAATTGTCCTTGGCTCTTATATTTATAGACACATCCGGTGACCTAGGAAAGGTTTTCCATGTTTTTCTTCTGCTTTGCATATCGGAGGAGGAGACATCCCGCATAAAAACTGCCATATCGGTTTGTACGTAATTTGCAGGCGTTACTAAAAATCAGACATTCCTAACATTAACTGCAACCTACCCATATTTGTCCCGAACACTTTGATTGTATAGCATCGACTCCGAGGCCTCGCGCTCTGGCGTTTTGTCTCTAGAAGTGTTGCGGACAAAAGCAAAGCAACAAACTTGCAAAGGAACCGATCCTACGAGCTTTTACCTGCCACCCCGGACCATCACCACTGAGCTATTACGCTTCATAACTCCGTTCGGAGAGCCGTTTAGCAGATTTGGAAGGCAGATTTGGAATCAGCGTCTAGAGACGCATCAGGTGGTATACATCTCATTTTATACGGCCACTTCGACCTACCATCCTTTCCTTGTTAGTACTATACATGAGTAAGAGCACCATAGATCCTCTACGTCTTAATGTATGAAAGTAACGCCGGCAGCACTTATTTCCATACTCGCTCCCTCAGCCGCCGCTGTGACGTCACCAACACGCGGACACGTCCGCCTAGCCGGTGAGCTCTTCCATGCAGCCTATGATAATGCGTCCTTAATCCATTCACGACGGAGCACTTTTCCAAGTTCTCGGCCACTTGGGGCGAACGCGATTCTGTAAGCGCCGACACCTTAGCTCACATTCGTGGATTTTGTATTGTGAATGCACAAAAGCGGGAAAATTTTCACAAAATAACAACAGCATACTCACTGCGTAAAGGTATCTAATCATATAATAGTGGGATTTGAACCAGAACGCGCACTAGTGGCGTATGAAAAATAATATTTATCCTTCCCTCAGTGGAGCTTTGTCGTGAAAGCGTTTCAAATGTTGTTCGATACTACCTAACCTTATGCATTCCATATCTGCTTTTTTGCCGTACTCTAGCACTCTACCATTCACAGTTTACTGCAACAGCAAGAAACTAAGATAAACATAATCAAAAGAAAACATTCGTACGCTCAAAAAAGTCTTTTCCAAAAACAAAGCAATGTACCTCTGACGTAATAACTTCGTATAGCTTACGTGGTATAGACCCCTATTTCCTTAAAGCAACAATCCAGGAACGAATTCGCGGGTAAGGACCACCTATAATGACGTTGCAGGTGAGAAGTTGGTCAATGGAGAAAGAAAAAGTAGAAAAAAACGTCGGGCAGGGGCTTAGACAGGGACTCCCCCTGCCGTTTAGGGAGATGTGTGTTGGACGAGTTGTCCGAACCTGCCCGTAGTACATGCGCTCCAGTTGACTGCTGGCAAATAGCCATGCATGCTTGCAAATACATAACTATTTGCCAGCAATCGAAATTGAAGCGCTTCAATTGCGTTCTTATGGAATCGACCTCATACAGCGCGGCGGTCCCGCAACGACCGCTAGTCGAGCAAGCGCTCTGCACAGCGTATGTTGGGCGATCCGCCTCTTTATGGGTGATCCGCCCCCTCCAAGAGGACTTCGACCCCTTCCAGCGCATTTTAGAGGTAGGTTTTGAAATTAAAGACATTTCCTATAAACTTTAGTTGGGCTGGGGCATGTTTTGACCGCCTAATGACCAAGTAGTTGAAACCCTGCCTGGACTGTTGCTTTAATTAAATGATCCAAAACGCTCAAAAAGACGATATAAGACAGGCAAGCGATTATTAGCTATCAGCTCATATGGGCTGCCATCGTCCCACGAGCACAC